AAACTTACTTCTGTTCCTTCCTCTCTCTCTCTCTCTCTCTCTCCACACACACAGCCAGCCCTGTGTCTCCCTTGAAGAGACAACAACAGCGGAACCCGGCCTTTACGCGAGACATTTTGACGCCATGCCATAACAAAATAAAGACCCATGTAAACCATGCTGTTCCTGACGCTAAGCCGCAACCATGCTGACGCTAAGCCGTTAACCATGCTGACGCTAAGCCGCAACCATGACTAGCGTTCAAGAACCCCGGGTATCCCTCCAAGCCCTCTCCGCCCAAAAGGCTGCCTGCCAAACCTGCCAAACCTGCCAAACCTGCCTCGTCGAAACGAAACCCACCATGGGCCGTTGTTTCTGACGCTATTACCTTTTTACTACCAATCGTATTCGTGCTGCTGCGAATGAATTCCCTTTCCCTTTTCTTCTTCCTCTCGGGGCCCTTTGCAAATAATAATCTGCCTGGTAAGCCCGGCTCTTCACCTTTTACTCTCAAGGTTGCTATCCGAGCCGAAGCTGTGTAATCAGGCTGAGACGCATAGCATAACGAGACCCCTCCTCTCCGTAGCTGAACTCGCAGCCGTACGGAGTAAATGACTTGGGCAGGCTCCTGTCGTTTCATTTCTCAATCCGCTTGAATCTCTTTCCCTACCACCCCTGTTCAAAGTTTCCCATTTCGTCACCGCATGCATGGTGATATGATATATCATATATCCAAACCTCAACTACGGATAGAGTCAACCGCGTCCATCCCGCCGCCAGACCTCCAACCCAACACCCGCAACCACTACCCGTCCGCCTCCTCCCCTCTTCCGCTCCAGCACGGCAACGTCGCCCGCATCCGCCACGCCGCTGTACGCTTCGTCTAGTAAGCGCATCCCCTGCGCACCTTCTCTGATCGCCCACGTCTTGACCCACTGATCGTTGCTCACGCTCACGCACCGCACCTCCCCGTCGTGCTCCGTGATGGCGACGCCGGTTACAGCCGCGGCGTGCGCCCTCCTCACCACCGCGCCCAGCTCGGCCCGGACACACAGCGGTCTTGCAGTATCGTCCGCCTCCCGCTTCAGCAGCGTCCACGCGAGCGCGTTGTCGTCGCCGCCTGTCACCACACCGTAGCAACCGCCACCGCCACCGCCGCCGCGTCTCGTCAAGTCGAGGCTTTTGACGCTGCTCTGGTGCACCTGCAGCGTCTGCGCGAGCTCGTACCTCCCATCGCGCCCTTGCCAGAGCGCGACGTGCCCGTCCGTCGACGCCGTTACTACGTGTAAGTCGCCGTTTTGCGTCTCCAGATGCCGCGCCTGCGTGAGGCAGGCTCCGGTATACATGCCCGCGCAGACGAGCGCGAAACCGCCCGCCGCTGTGTAGCGATACGTCTTGAGCGCCGAATTGGACAGCGCAATCGTCACCATCGTGCTGTCGGCATCACTGTCTGGCGCAACGTCAAAGTCCATGATGCGGAGGTCTTTCATCGGACTCTTGTCCGCAAAGACGCCCTCACACACGACGGCTAGACGGCCTGCGTACGCCGAGTCCAGCGTCCTTACCCGCCATGCAAACAGCTCCTCGTTGCCGCCGCTGGAGAAGAGATATTCATCGCCGCGCCACAGCACCTTTTGCAGACCGGTCACATGCCGCTTCATGTACGCCCTGTGCTGCATCCTGCTGCTGTCGCTATCAAACTCCCAGAGTCGGATCGTGGTATCCTCGGCACCCGTCGCCACGTACCGTCCGGCCGCCGCCAGCGAGCGAATCTCGCGTCCGTGCTGGCCCAAACGCACCACCTCGTGGAAGCGTCCTCGCTGTGAGTGCACTGCTAGCCGCGACGTCCGCGTAAAGGCGAGGCGCACCCGACCTGCTGCGCACGCGGGTGCGTGCTCGTCGCGTGCCAGGCGAAACGTGCGGTGCGCGCCGCCGCAGTCCATGGCCGCGAGCTCCTCGCGGCGCGTCTCGTTCCACACGACAAAGTCCTTGCTGCGGAAGCCGTACAGGATGAGCTCTGGCGCGGCAGCATCTCCCGTGAACCACGCGCCCTCGATCCACGGCCCAAACGGCGGCGTTGTCTCGTGGAGAAGCATCATCTGTGGAGCGGCGACACTGTCAAATTGAAGCTGGAAGATGCGGTACTTGCCGTCGCGGCTCGTTGCGAGGACGTATTTCGCGCGGCTATCTGCCGATGAGCTTGGCGGCAGCGGCACAATGGCTGTGATAGCGTCTCCGCTGGCGGGCGGTAGGTTGAAGACTGGGCGCCACGCGCCCTCATCGGCAGCGCTCCGTCGCAGCAGGGCAATCCAGCCGTGGCGAGACCCAAGCGCCAGCAGGTCGTCGTCGATGCGCGCTGCACTAACGGCCACGAAGCGGCTGTCCAGGCCGTCTATCGCTGCCTGGCTCTTGACGGCGCCCGTATCCCGGTCAAGCACGAGGTGCACCGACGCGGCGTCGCGATGGAGGTGCACAACGGCCTCTGCGTCGTCGTCCGCCGCGCCGCGTCCCGTGCCAGACAGCGCATTCACCTCGACCACGCGGCCCGCGAGGCGTGCCACCGGGACGACGCGCCGGTCGCAGAGCCCAAAGTAGTAGATGCCACCTGTAACGGACCCCAGTAACGCGCCGCCGTAGGAAACTCTTCTGATCGCGTACACGTTTTGCATGTCCGCGCGCGTAGCCTCGTCGTCGACGGCAAGTTCCTCCCACGTAGTAGTATTCTTGCCACGAAACGTGCCCAGCAGCAGCGTGCCCATGTTGCCCACTGCTAGCAAAACGTCGGGCGTGAGGAAGTCGTACCGCCCAATCACCTCCTTGCGCTGCTTGGTCGTCGTCGTCGACGGCAGCTGCTCCTCGCCGCCGATTGCTGCCCAAATGTCTCTTGTCTCCCACGTCTCTGCGTAATTGTACACGTCGTCGTTGTCGCCGTCGTCATTATCCGCCGCCGTTTCCTTGATGAGCGTGATTTTGCTGTCGGCGCCGCCGGTCAGGATCCGCGTCGTCGGCGCGCCGCCCCCGTCTTCCATGTTACAGTAGACGGCCCGCGACCACAGGTGCTTGCCGTCGTGCAGCGCGTACGTCTTGTCATGGACGAGCGGCTGCGGGTCGCGCAGCGCGGCCTCGACATCTAGACTCCATTTCTGCGCCGTCGCGTCCTCGCCAAACGAGAACACAGACAATAAGCCCTCGCCACCGCTCCAGCGTTGGCGCTCAGCATTGGTCAGTAACGTGGCGGGGTCGCCGGGGAGACCAAACCAGACACCCCAGATACGTGAGGCATGGCCCATGGCCGTTGCGATGGGCGCGACGTTGGCGCGGCCGCCGTCGCCGTCTCCTCCGTACGCGGCCGGCGCGCATCGAAACCCCGTATCGGCCGCCGTCTCTGTCGCCACCGCACCATGCCCTGCATCGGTGTTGTCGCCGTCTTCTTCGTACTCTGTAATGTTCCAGATCCGGATCGTGCGGTCGTCGCTGCAACTCGCCAGTAGTCGCACCGCGCCGCCGCCGTCAGGCATCTCCATCCTCGGCGATATACGCACGCCAAAGATGGACCCCTCGTGGCCCGACAGCGAGTACAGCATCCGCGGCGTGCCGCTGCTGCCACCACCACCACCACCACCACTACTCCCGAACACGTGCTTCCAGACCAAAACGTCCCCAAAGACGGTGCCCGCCGCGACGAGCACCTCGTCCGGCGCCGTCCAGCACACGCTCGCCGCGTACAGCATCGGCCTGCTGCTCGGCGAGACCAGCGGCGACGCCAGCGCCAGCGCCAGCGCGCCCTTTTCACCATTGCGCATCCTCGCGGTAACGATCTCGTTGTGCGCCGTCACCAGCACCACGAGGTCAGCGTCGGCCGGACACACGGCGCCGTCGTAGATCCAGTCCGGCGCGCGCAGACGCGCCACCCGCGGCTGCTGCGTCTTGCCTACGCTGGCTGCGATGATGGCAGAGAGCTCGAGGACGGCGACGGAGGAGCCGCCCCAGAGCAGCACACGACCTTCTGACGACGCCGCCGTGGAAGAAGCGGAAGAAGCGGCGAGCTTTTCACTGCGGTGCACGTGGATGCCGTGGATGGGCTGCGCGACGAGGACACGCACAACGCGCGCGACGGGCGTCTGCCGATCGAGCGGCTCGTCAAGGGCATCGCGGCGGCCCGTGCCGACGCGGTAGACGACGAGGTCAGTGTCCTCGCCGGCGAGCACGTGGAGCGCGCCGGTGGCAGGGTCCCGATCAAAGGCGACGGCGGTAATGGGTACTTGCGCGAGCTCCCTCGTCAGCCTCACAGCGCCCTGGTCCTGTAGTGTAGTCAGCTTACTGATGCAAGTTGTATACAGACGTTCAAGAGCGCGAGGGGTGCTCCAGGGCTGCTGTTGAGCCGGGGGGGGAGTCGTCGTGGTTCAACGTACTGCCATGATGGAGGGGCACAACTCCTCAAAATGTGCTGTCGCGCGGAGTGGCTACGGCGAACGCATGCAGCTTATTGGCGTCGTTTAACTTTTTAAGAACTCGTCAAATCTTTTTATGAGCTCGGCGGTATTTTGCTCGCCCTGTACGGTTTGTAGAGCCGTTCGTTGTGTGATTAGTTGTACAGAGGTCGAAAATTTGCTCCACAGCTAAATTCTGGACGGTGCAAAGTATGGTGGTCCCGGCTTGAGCCTACGATCACGAAAGCGCCCCGTTAATCTGTAATTCACAACTTGAATGCAGTCTATTGATGTTAACTCATTCTTGAATCTATTCTTCGTCATAAGTGGTAGCGTAAAGTAATACTAGCCCGGGCTTTGCCCACTATATATGCCTATAAAAATATCTTGCCATAATCATGAGCACCGCCAAACAACGAGTGCTGTTTCCAAACGCCAGTCTAAACTACCATTTTCGCTCAAAAACAAGGGTGAAAAGGAAATCATATAGACCAGAGGTCTGCTTATGCGCGGTGAGAGTAGGGCTCGTAGGCCAGGTCAGAGCGGCCATTGCCCGCGGGGTAGCGAGCGGGTTGGCCGTTGTAGTAGGAACTGTTGTTGTAGCCGGCGTGATGCTGAGGCTGCTGCTGGAAGCCAGTCATTTCGTGCTGGGTACCAAGAGGGGCGTAGCCGCGCGAGGGCATGAGCTTCTCGCCGTCGCCGTGGCTGTCACGGTTGCGGACGCTTCGTGCGCGGCCGTGCTCAGGCTTGCAGCAGCAAATTGTAAAGACCCAGAAGAGGTTGGCGCCGAGGGCAAAGGCGGCGGCAATCCAGACGGCGGCCAGGAAGCTGGTCTGGATACCGCCCTTCACGCCGTAGATTTTGGCAGAGGCCTCGACGGCGCCAACAACAGCAGCAGATACTCCAGTCGCTAAGCCAGCTGCGGCAAAGACGAGAATGGTGGTTATGCAGGCAATGAGCCAAGTGAGGCAAGAAACGACGCGGGAGCAGCTCGCGAGGATGCCGATCAGCAGCTCGACACCGAGCAAGATATTGGCAGCGATAAAAGCAATCTCGGTAACCTTCATGATAGTGCGGAACGCCTTGATAGACCCGCGGATGTCCTCGGGGAGGGGAATGCTGACGCCAGCCGCGGTGCCAACATTCTTGAGGTACGTGTCGTTGAGGGTGCGCGAGGCCCAGTTGAACTCAGCCTTTGTGCACTCGCGCTTGCCGTCCCTTGTAGAGCAGAAGCCCCAGAGGTCGACCTCGAAGACGTAGTCGAGGTTGAGCTCCTTTGCCGTGACATTTTGGCCTCCGGTGGCCTTGTTGAGCAGGCTGTCAATGTCGACACCGAGGTCCTTGCCAATGCTGCTGACGTCAACACCGGCGCTCTTGGCGATACTCTCGATACCCGCCCTATCGACCGTCAGGTTGGTCGTGTCGAGCTTGAACATGAAGGTGTTGTGATGGGCGACGCCGGCGAGGGTGGCGTAGAGGAGGGCGGCGAGGGAGGCAATTGTTAATAGGAGTGGCAGAGCCACGCAAATGGCGCGACCGATGGCCATGGCTGCTGTGATGTGTGATGATAAGGTGTTGCGCGGGTGTGCTGGTGGTTGGCCCGGTGTGCTGGTTGGCCCGGTGCGGTTGTTGTTGATCTGCGTTGTCGTGTAAATACAAACGGAGCAAGAGACTGAGGGCTGTTGCGACCGGATCGTAGGAAAGAGTTCAACTCGAGATGAGCTAAAAACGCAGGAATCAAGGTGCAAGCTGGAGAGATGAGATGCAAATAAATACAAAACGAGATATGTTGGATGGGAGTGAGGTAAATACGAGGAAGGGGGATGACGAGTCGTTTATAACATGTGCATGTCGAGACTGGGCTGCGTAACGGAAGCAACCAGGACTAGGTAGGTAGGTAGGGGCCTGGAGCAGGCTGGCTGGGCAGCCCCATCAGAGTCAGCCCAAGTAACCCTCGCACACCTTTTCTCTCAAGGTTAGGCTGTTTGAGCTTGATCATGGCACTCATCTTCAAGCTTGTTTGGGCAGAGCGGATGCTTACTTGGGCGGGGAATTGGGGCTGGCACTTGGCCAGGGTGGTGGCGCAGTTGGCGGCGCAGCTGCTGCGTGGCAGGTAACTCGTACCGCTTAATCGGGCAATGCGCTGCGGGATAATGACGCGGGATAATGTGTAAAATTATTTACCTCCTCTTTTAGCCTTTTTTCCCCCTGCTTTTTTTTTTACGCTTGATCTTTTTATTCTATCTGCGTGTGCTGCGCAAGACAATAGTTCTCCACGTCCCCCACTGGGTCGCCGCGGGCAGCTTCGCCTTGTGTTGCTGGCTGATGACGAATTTGATTGAGACTCTTCTTTTTTTTTAGCGGGGTTCCTGCACCCAGGGGCTGCTGCCAAGTGCTTGGAAAGTTGGAGTGCAGCTCACTGGACAACCTAAAAAAAACATGCAGCCACTCGACTAAAAATATCGAGCACCGCCAGGTCAGCACCGTGCAAACGGCCCTTTATGAGAAAAGATGGGAAAGAAAAGGAGATAAATTAGCCCTGTCAAAACAAAAAGGGAACCAGAGATAATAGTGAACAGAGCCGCTCCACATTGCTACCCTTTACTTGTCAGTGACGGGGTATTTTTCTTTACAATAACACTCCGGGCACTGTGCGCTACTTCTGGCCCACTGATCCACGAAATACTTCCACAGTCTCCCACTAACTCCTCTTGTCCGTTTATATCTTGCCGCCAAGAGCCTCCAATGCGATTTGGTTTTCGGTCGATATTGTAAACAATCCGCGCACAACTTAAACTTCTTCTTTCTGTGGTAAATACGACGATCGCATAAAGGCTAAAAGCGCCATATGAGCTGGTATATACGATTGCAGGCAGACGGCAGGAGATTTCTATGTCTGGCCACAGAGGGAACTCTGATTCTCAACATGGACGATACCTTGAGGAGCTCTCTGCTTGCTAGGGCGAGACAGACTGCGTCAATGGTGTCTAGCATCTGAAAGATGCGAAGTAGAAGTTCCGTCGGCAAGGCCACGAGGGAGCAGGAAATAATTGGCTTGCCAGTCAAGAGCTACGTGTATCGTTAGTCATTGCGGCTAAATCTGCATGGCCAGAGGAAGGCAAACCTGCTCAGGTTGAGTAAAGTATCGTTCACATTGATGTCGGTGCAAAACACGCGACGTCATATTGGGAACACGTCTGCAAGTTGCAAATAATAAACTCGGGCTTCAAAAATTCTATGACAAGCCTTTGCCGTACTCCGGGGACTAAAGGCTTCCCTTTGATTGCTCGATGGGCCAAGGCTGTTTCGTAAGTCGTGCCAGGTTGTTTGTTCACACATCTACCTTTCTGTAGTTGTCGTTAATAGCTGCGATGTGCACTGTGATTTATGCGGGCGGGCACCACATTAGGACCCACATATTAGCCACCACCTCCACCTCCACACACTGGACGAGCATCAACTCGCCAGTCCATGCAAGCCAATCTGCACTCGTATCATTCAACCAACCGATTAACTAGCCCAAGCACTCGTCTCCAGCATCTGATTTGCCTATTGCCGCGTCAGCTATCACAGCTAGTCATCGTTCCCCGCCCTCTCGACTTCATCCAGCCATCGGTTTCACACGCTCGTCGAATGCAACCTTTAATCGCTCGGCGGCCATGGCTGACAAGCGGAACCTACTTCTCTGCCTCGACGCATTTGGCACCCTCTTCAGCCCCAAGGGCTCCGTAGCTCACCAGTATGCCCACGTTGCGCGGCAGTGCGGCCTCACCGGCTTCTCAGACGGCGAGCTCGCGACGCATCTGATGGCCGCTATCCGCGAGGAGCGCACGCGTAACCCCAACTACGGCAAGGCCACCGGTCTTGGAGCCACGCAGTGGTGGACGAATGTATCCGAGCCCGGGCGCAGCCTCTTGCTTCTATCCAACAAGAACCATCATCATGCTAATATTTGTCTTTTCTTCTGGCCCCCGACTTCCGGATAGGTCATACACAAAACCTTTACTCCACTGATTCCAGAGAACCAGCCGTTTCCGCCGACGTTGGTCCCGGCGCTGATTCATCGATTCGCCTCAGCCAGAGGCTACGACGCGCAGCCCGACCTCGTCCCCGCACTGCGCGCATTGCGTCGCCCCAAGGCGCTGCACGCCTTTGACAAGGTCGTTATCGGCGTCCTAACCAACTCGGACGATCGCGTACCCAGTATTCTGTCCTCGTTTGGCCTAAACGTGAGCCCGCTACGCTACGGTGCCGACGAGCACGCCAGCCCTCGTCCGCGGGACGACTACGACGTCGACTTTCACTGCATGTCTTATGACGTGGGCTTTGAGAAGCCCGACGCGCGAATCTTTGCCGCCGCAGATTCCATGCTGGACAGGATCGTCACGGCGCGAGAAGGGGGATCGGCGCGGGGGCAGGACTGGTACAGGATTTACGTCGGCGACGAGCACGCCAAAGATGTCCTGGGGGCCGCCAATGCTGGCTGGCATCCTATCCTGTTGGATTCTGACTCGCAGGCCTCCGACGTGCCAAAGCTTGAGGACTGCCCAGACCAGTCCATCGCTGACGTGTTTCAACTTCATCCCGTTGTGCGCGTGCCGTCTATACGGGCCCTGGCGCTGTTGTTGTCTGGATCTGGATGGGCTTCGAAGAAAGCGTCCTGGCACTAGATCGAATCTCTCCCTCAACTGCCGTACGTGATATACCGGTTGTCTTCTTCCCAGTGGAATTATGGTTCGTCAGCTAGCATGGCGCGAGCCGCCCCTCTGTTGCGTGACCCTTCGCGTGAATCCGGACCGCAGCAGCGTCGTGCTACCTATCTACTGATATCGCCTGTAATGTATGCATGTATGTAATACACTGCCACAATGAGCACGTACTATTTCGGGTAGTGTTCGCTTTGCTTATGGCACATGTCCAGCTCACAGAGAAAACGATGGCCAAGCTTTCTACATGGAAGACAGTGGCGCTCCCAAGACTATCGGCCTCTTGCGCGACAGACGTGCCATGGATGGCGTCAAATCTCGGGAGGGAAACTAATGATGTTCTTCAATTTGCACCGTAGTGCTCACGCGTTTGTTGATGCGTGCTAACAAGCGGATGATGGGCTCGCTGGACATACTACGCCATAATCTTTCGCGCAGTGCTCACCTCGCCAGCTAGGCGATTGGCATATAGCAGTTGAGCAGCAACAATGGCACACAAGGGTTTTCTGGTTATTGAATGTGACACCTGCATGGATGGCTCAAATTGGAGCAAGGCCAAACGTGTTGAACTAGTCACTGAACTGGTCGTTGATATCCTTCCACGACGAACGTCAGAGTCCATCGTCGTCTTGCTACACAGGCACCCCGGTGTTTGCAGGGCTGGCTCACGCAGATTCATTGTTTTCACTACTTTGACATACGAGTTGAAGAATTTGATACGCAACCTCGAAGAATGCGCGGACTTAAAAATAAGCAGACATGACGTGCGTCACCATGCACAGTTGTGCACCGCCACCATTTGGGCGGAACGTCTAAATTTAGAAGCCACGCCACCGGCTGGATATCGGCAAAGGCAATCTGGGTTCTGAAAAACGGATTGTCGCGGCAGCGTTCGAAACTTTGGTGATTGCGTGGCGGGTTCCGGGATGGCATGTAATTGGTAGCATCAGATTGGCCGATACATCAGGTGAGGAGCTGCTATTGGCCTGCCACGAGGTTCGGCGCAAGCCAGCCCCCAGCAGCGACGCGCATGTTAAATGTATAGACTTTAGTGGTTGCGTCGGCCCCCCAGGCGGAATTACTCGGCTTTTGGCCATGGACATGTCGATATTATATTGACCCGGACTCATCGGAGATACGGGTAGCTGGCATAATGGACTGTCCGGCGACTTGTACAGGTTTGGGCCTGTAGGCAAACCTAACATAGAAAGCGCGTCCGGATTATTGCGATGGATCATCAGGCTGCAGGCCGTGTAGCAGTAGCTGCAGAATAATTAGCGCGCTAAAATATATTGCTGCATAGTATATTGGCGTGTCCGATAGATATAGATTCACCAGTAGTTTTTGACTCTGTGGCCATACCACGGCGGCCCAACGACATCGGCTGTTCAACAGCGGCTATAATTGGACGCCGGCGAGTTGCATTTGGGTGCCCAAGGTCACGCGCACACTCGTCAGAGTAAGAAACTAATTAGCAGCAATCTTGATGTGGCAGCGGTCAAGGAATTTGCAGGGCTCGTGAGCGCCCGCAGCGAGGTGTTGGACATGGGCACGGCCGCGGAGACGTGTGGTGCCGCTGGTGCGCCGGAGAAGTGTGACTCGAAATCAGTTGGCGTGGGACTAGGACCGTAGGGTCCGAAGAGATGTGCCTGTCCGAGTCGGTGGGCGGCGACGACGGCGATAGTGAGGAAACAGGTGGCGCCGATTCCCTGGCCGGTGGGCGGGCGGGCGGGCGCAAGCCGGAAGGGCAAGCAAAGGGCAAGCTTTGGCCCAGGCGTTGTCGAGACGGCCAAAGCCGCCAAGCGAGAGGCTGTCGGTCAAGCGATGAGGATGGTGTGCACGGAGCAGAACGGAAAAAGACTGCACAGAGACAAAGCATTGTCGTCGGACGGCAAAGACGCTTCAGCTCCACTACTGCTTTTAGAGGTGTGGCCGCACCAGCCTCGCCGAGTGGTTGAAAGCGCGGGCAGGCTGGCAGGCTTGGGACAAGGCGTGGGCGCATCCCTGGCTAGTGTGGCACGCCCGCTGCAGAGAGCGCCGCGTCCGGACGGGCTGGAGGGCATTGGAGAGCAGTAGCGGATATGCTAGCGGCCGGATGACCTGCGTGGAATCATGGCGTGTGTTCGAGACCCAAGGCTGTGAAGCAGAGTGACAAGGTTGTGATATCTGGAGATGAGCGTGAGATGGTCGTAGTTTGGACATATCGGGAGTTGTAGGAGGCATGTTTGGCCGAGAAGCGAAAGATCGAATTGACACAAGTGGCGTGACAGCTGGCAAGCATGGAAGAGGCGAGTTGCGACAATTGGCAGCTGGCAGCTGGCAGCTGGCAGTTGACAGTTGGCAATTGGCAGTTGGCAGCTGCATGGACACTGGAAAAGACGGCCCGTCGTTATGTTCCATGTCATGAGGTTGTTGGCCGACAGGGGCAGCAAAGTACCTGAAAGTCTCTAAAAACCATCGAATGTTCCCGGCTGCTGCAGCTTCCAGGGCCCCCAAGCCCCCCGTGAATATAGGCGCTATGGCCGCTGTGTGAACCAGCCGGAGCCGCCTGGAGCGCTTTCTGTAGGGCTGTCAGCCTTGGTTTCTCTGCCGATTCGTCTGTCGTTGCCATCTGTAGCCAGAAGTAGGTAGGTTGGTAGAGTCAGGTCCTCGCCGTTTGCAATCGCTTGTGTACGCCTAAACTAGGTAGTCTTGGGGGAAACGATTAACGAAAAGGCATACAATACAGCTGTCATATTCTTACTCAAACGTCAACATCTCCCCGTCTGCTTCCGATCGCCATCGCAACCATCTTCCCATACTTCTGTGTCACGCGCAACCGACCTCTCCAGCTGCCGACAAATTCTAATTCTATAGTATTCCTTGGCTGCACAGCTCTCGTCTCCCCCAGCCGGCGCCGGCCTGCAACCCCCCACCGCCACCTCAGCCCGCTACTGGGCTCTGCCGTGCTCCTAGAACCTTGGAGGGTGCTCAACCTGTGGCCGGCAACACCCAACAGCGACCCAAACCACTCGCGCCTCCAGCTCCAGCTCCAGCCCAGAAACATATTGCCACATCCGCCGCCCGCTGAATTAGCCAGAGCCTGCTCGAGCTGGATGAATTGTTTGTCCACACCTGCGTTCCCTCGCTCCCTCGCTACTGGCAGTTCCGACGAACAGAAGCACCTTGGCACCACGCTGTGCCAGAAACCTTAATCGCTGTCGCCGCTTTTCGCCCCCCTCCTCCACTTCATCATATCGCGCCAAAAGCTGCAAAAGTCATCAACTCTCGTCACACTTCTCACACACCTCACACTTTTTACATCTGCTCACGGCTCTCAAGCTGCTTGGCTCTCTACTCCATTGTCAACCTCTATATCCGCCTCTTCTTCCATCTGCTGTCCGTCGTTCGCTGTCGGTAAGTTTTGCCTCCTTCTCTGGCGCCCCATGTATGCGTCACTGTTGGGTTGTCGACTTGTCTTTGCGCTGCGCTTTCGCCGAACTCGCTTTTGTCCTGCTGCCATCGTCGACGTCTGCCTCCCAGCCATTGCCTCCCGTTCACGCACCTCAATCTTGACCCCTTCGTCTCCCGGTCTGGTCTCGTGGCTTTCAAGAAATGTGCCGCCATCGCACTCTCTCTGTCTCTCGTTCCTGTCGCTGTCGGTCCTCGTCGCTATTCCCGCCTCGGTCCCGGAAAGCAGCTTCGAGACATTGATCCTTGACCGTGAGACTGTTCGGCGCCTTGGCAAACCGTTTCTTCCCACTCTCGTGTCGCTGCGCTCTGCAGGTACATTCACGCGACCGCCCGTTGTTGCATTGCGCCGCTAGCTCTGTCGTGCTTATCACTGCTCAACTCTTTCCCCTCGTCTTGGGAGTCGCATGCTTGCCGTCATTGTCGCCGGCTCTGCACAGCGCCGCGCCTGTCTCTTCCTTGTACCACTGCTCCTCACATTCCACTGATCCATTTTCTTGCATATTGCATGAAATGTCTCTGCTAACGTGAACCTATCGCCTGAGAATAGTTTCCCGCCCTTCCCGGCCCCTGTCGATTCCTGCCCGCCTCGACACCGAACCCTCTACCCTGCCCTGCAGGCTCTCTCACAATCTCACGGGCCATCCGACGTCATCATTGCTACCGCATCGCAGCCAAACATTGCTTTTTGTAGCCATTCGCGGTATCCCGCTCTGCGACAGGATCCGCGTCCCCTGCTCAGCGACTCAAAATTTACCATTCAGAATTGAATGCCAATTTCACTCTCCCGCATCAGCGCTCTTCTGCGGCTACGCATTTTCTATCGTCTCAACCCAAACACCCTGCACCTGGCGTACCCTTAGTTGCGTTTGTCTTCCTCTGACAGCTTAGCGGCACCTGAGACAGCTACAGCAAACTTCGTCGTCACACGACCATCATCGCGGCCATGGGCAACCAAAGCTCCAAGCCCGATGGAGGATCGCCTAAATCTGGTTCCACTGACGGACCTCTACAGTCTTATCCCTCCATCAGCAGAAGCGACACTAAAGACTCGTCCCGATCTTTCCGTTCACTGAGGTCCAAGATCCCGGGAAGCTCCAAAACCGACAGCCCGAGAAACTCCACGCTGCTCAGCAACGGAGACTCCGACAAAAGTCTCGATGCTGCCTCTGTTCGATCGGGCAAAAGCGGCCGCTCAAGCGCTTCGCGAGGCAGCCGTGGTGAAAACACTCTCAAGCACAGCTCTACCGACATGTCAATTGCCGACTCTATGCTATCCAACGAACAACCGCCGCCCTCGCCCATCCAGTCCAGCGCCTCCAGAGCTGCCGGCAGTGCTCACGACGTGAGCGCCGCTCAGGCTTGTGGCGAAGTCGATCATGTTTCCGATCAGCCTCCTTCGGCGGCCGCGGCCAGCGCCAATACACACTTACAGTGTCCTGGGCAATCGATTCTGGTTCGTCGCGATACTAGCAACAGTCAAGTGGTACACAAGGCGCCTTCGACCGAGTCTGCCAAGGTTGATAACTCCAATGTCGCCATGGCCGACATCAAGGAAATGGATTTGGATGACTATATCAAGCGCCTTCTGGATGCTGGTTATGCCGGCAAAGTCACGAAGAGTGTGTGCTTGAAAAATGCCGAGATTGTCGCCATCTGCCAACGCGCTCGCGAGGTACTCCTCTCCCAACCTGCCCTACTCGAGCTCGATGCGCCTGTCAAGGTTGTGGGCGACGTCCACGGGCAATACACTGATCTTATTCGAATGTTTGAAATGTGTGGCTTCCCCCCCATGGCCAACTATCTCTTCCTCGGCGACTATGTCGATCGTGGGAAGCAATCATTGGAGACGATTTTGTTGCTACTGTGCTACAAGCTCAAATTCCCGGAAAACTTTTTTCTGCTCCGGGGTAACCACGAGTGCGCCAATGTCACACGAGTGTACGGCTTCTACGACGAGTGCAAACGAAGGTGTAACGTCAAGATCTGGAAAACGTTTATTGATTGCTTCAATACCCTGCCGATCGCTGCCATTGTTGCTGGCAAGATCTTTTGCGTTCATGGTGGTCTCTCGCCAGCCCTCAGCCACATGGACGATATTCGAAACATTGCTCGCCCTACTGACGTTCCCGACTACGGTCTACTCAATGATTTACTATGGTCTGATCCGGCAGACATGGAACAAGATTGGGAAGCGAATGAGAGAGGGGTGAGCTATTGTTTCGGCAAGAGAGTCATTACAGACTTCCTTGCTGTCCACGATTTTGACCTTATTTGCCGTGCACATATGGTCGTAGAGGATGGTTACGAATTCTTTAATGATCGAGTTCTAGTTACTGTGTTCAGTGCGCCGAACGTACGTCTCCCCCCTCCCCACTGCCTTTTTAGAGCTGCACTAACTTGACGAAGTACTGCGGCGAATTTGACAATTGGGGGGCTGTCATGTCAGTCAATGCAGAGCTTTTGTGCAGCTTTGAATTACTTAAACCCCTTGACTCAAGTGCTCTCAAGAGTCATATCAAGAAGGGTCGCAACAAGAGACAGCACATGCTTAACAGTCCTGTAAGTACTCGAGATTCAGTAAATGCAGAGCCAGCTCTAACAGAAACAGCCCGCAAGTGTCTACCCCCAGAGTGTATAGTGAGGCCTACACAGATGAGTTACAAGCTCACCGGGGTTTTCACCCATATCATGGTTAGTCACATGATATTCTTATGCCGATGCGACGGTTATTTCGGAGCCATGTTTGGCTGAGTAGCGCTATTGTCGGGCATGATCATCTCGGCGTCGGCGACAGGCACACCGAAGAGTCGGTAATGTAGTTGGCGGATCCGTGCACCAGAACCGCACGAGTGCATCATTTTGGCCAGCGTGGATATTGAGCTCGACCTGGCTCTCGCGGCCGTGTATGCTGGTGTTTGATGGCAGTCGACGCAGGTTGTCGATTGGCTAGGCGTTTTGCTTTTTTCTTTCTTGTGGTGCACAATGCTTGGGAAGTTGTGTTGTTTGATGGCCTAAGCTATTCATAGTTGTGCTATTAGCGCCCGTCCGTGTGTTACATACGGCGTGGCCATGTTGAGATGTTGTGTTACGAAGACGTTGGAATATATGATACTACAGAAGGCATATGAGCCGGCGGTGGGCCGTTAGGGCCGGTGTAGTGGGCTATCTAGCATACTTGTTTTGAAATCTCCTTAATATGAGAATCCTTACGCACTTAATTGAATGATCTGTAATTGTTACAGAAGTTCTGTGACGCAATCGTAGTTAGAAAGTCTCGAAATGCTGCGGCATGGTGGCACAGGGACGTGGCTGCTTAGTCACCACCAACACGGCGGAAGAAATTTGGTCTGTACCTAAGGAGCTTGGAAATTTGGACGGCAGCAGCCGATATCGACACGCGCACACACAACCACACGATGAGCACACCATCCTTTCGCTCGCTGGTCTGCTCCCGGGCCAGGCCAGAGCTCCTCAAGACGGGCCAGGCTCTCGGCAACTACTTTCGCGAGTTTTCCACGACACAATCGCTCGCCGACAATGCCACCGCCCCCCCAAGCGGTCGCGGTAACAACGACAGCAACGGCCGAGGACAAGGCAACGCCCGCGAGCGCGGCCGCGCCGCCGTCTCCGCCATCAACAACATGATGAGAGGCCGTGGAAAGTCTGTCGCCGGCCCTAAACCCGAAGGCGGTGCTCCTCCCGCCGGTGCTGGTGGCCCCAAGGTCCTCGACGTCCGCAGCCTGCCCAGGGGCCTGACGCGAGGGCGCGGCGGTTTTCGCGGATCCAGCAGCGGCGGCTCGACGGGTCCGGCGGGCGTGAATCGATTCGCGGCGCAGGGCAGAGGCGGTGGTAGTGGAGGAGGACGCGGCGGCTTCCGGGGACGAGGGGGCGCTGCTAGTTCCCGCGGACGAGGTGGCCGAGGCGGCCGAGGCGGTCGCGGCGGCGGCCGTGCAGAAGATGGTGAGAAGAGAGACGGCGGTGGCCGCAGAAAGGGTGGCGGCCCGGAAGCGGATCCCTACGCGGTCATGGACGAGGCCGAGACGGCATTTGACATGGCGATTCGGTTCCGCCAGCCCACACCGTACGAACCGACGCTCGACGTCGACGGGCTGCTCGCGCATGCGCCCGCCGTGCCAACCAGCGTCGCCGGCCGCCGCGCCGCGGTGCTAGGCAGTCTGCAGGCCATGGGTGGCGGCACGGGCGACTCCATCGGCGCGCCGAACGGCTACCTGCCCAGCGCGGTCGACGGCCGCGTTCAGCAGGACGGGCTCGCCTTTTTTGCGACGCCCGCGGCGCGAGGCTGGGCTGAGGAGCAGATCCAGGCCAAGCAGCGCGAGGGTGGTGCGGACGCTGCGACGACGACGACGACGACGACGACGACGACCGCGTTTGCGACGGTGGGCGAGGCGGTGCAAAAGGTGGTGGTCGAGGCCGCGGTGGCTGGCGCGCACGAGACGCCCCGGTTCGCGACCGACGTGCACGGCATCGTGCGCGCGCAACACCTGCGCTCTGGCAGCTACGGGCCTGCCGCCACGGCCATGTTCGAGAAGAAGCTGCGAAGCCTCGTGGGAGAGCCGAAGCTGGCTGCTGTGGAGTCAGAGAGGGCCAAGGAAGCAAAGGCTTGAGCGGTTCCGAGTACCGACAGTTCAAATGTACAAAATGTAATAACGAAGGGGGGTCAAGAAAGAAGACGGTTGCGGTGGAGATGGGGGTTTCAGCAAAAGAGGTCTGGTGAAAATGTCGAGAAGGAATGGTGTGTCATTGCAGCTCGAGCAATAGCTGCCTGTTTTTATCACGCTCTCATCAATGTACATGTACAGTAGTATACAACAACACAATAGATGCCAAGTATCATGTGTGTCTCTATCCAACACTCCCGCTGCCAGCTAGTGTCTGCCGACCTGCTTGACGCTCTGCGCCTCGAGAGCATCAATCTCCTTGATCTTCTTATCCTGCAGCTTCTGCACCTCTTTTTCCACCTTTTTCAAGGCGTCCGGCAGCAGCGCGCCGCTCTTGCGCGCTTCCTTGAGCAGCTTTTCATGCCTGGTCCGCGCCTGCCGCACACGCTCACGCCACGCCTGCGTCGCCTCTCTGACGCGCCGCACCACCTCTTCCGGCCGCTCCGCTTCGACACGCAGCAGCAGCTCAAGCTCGTTGTCGTCGGACCGCTGCGGCTGCTGATTAAAGTCGGAGCTGGTCTGGACGGCCGACATGATGGGTTTCACGTAGGCCTTTTCGTTGATGAGCAGCGAGACGGTGCGGCCCGCGCGCGGGACGACCTGAGCGAGCTCGCGGAGCGGAAACGTCTCGGTCGTCGTCGAGTCGGCGCTTTTTAAGGTCACGGGCAGCGCGCCGAGGTGGGAGGGGTTGAAGCGGCCGCCGTGCAGCACGGTCTGGACTTGGGTCTGAAAGTGCGCGTCGGATTCGGCAAAGGCCGCCGAAACGGGGTCGAGGTCGAGGGGGTCGAACTCGCCGCTACTGCTGGAGGACGGACTGCTCTTATTTTTGCCGGATGATGAGGACGCGGCGGGCGTGGAGGACTTGGAGGGGGTGTCGGGCTTGCGCTTCTTGAGATGGGCGGGAGATGTGCTGAATGGCTGGGTGAGGCGGGCAGAGGCCAGGGCGGCGGTTCGGGTCGAAGCAATGGTTCTGCAAAGATTGAGTTGTCAGTTGTCTTCTTGTAAAGAGAGCATAGTTTCGGCAGCGGCCAAGCTAAAGTAGTGACGGGCGCGGGAAGGAATGGAGAGGAAAAGCAGGACTGTACCGTTCATTGTGTCCGAGGGTGCGCAAGCTGCGCGCGCCCTGGCGGGCAACACGGGCAAAAGACATGATACCTGAGGGGCCTTTATCGATATTGAGTGGCAGCGTGAGTTGTGGAGGGAGAGTTGAGCGAAACTACGTCAATTGATAGCTGTACGACATGAAATATAAAACGGAGCTGTAGAAGAAGCTGTAGCAACTGACAGACAGCAGATTAAGATATTTTGTGGGGCTGCCGAGACAGCTTGGTGATGAGACAGACATAAAATGATAGCTTTACGAAGTATGCAAGACCTACTTTGCTGCTGTCGCACTGTGGATAGAATCTATGCAGGTAGAGTAGTTGTGGCCAGTTAGCTATGTAATAGTGATGAGCTTGCATTTGTATTCGCATTTGTTTGTCTGTCTTGTCAGTAGTGCAAGACATCGGCTGTGTAGTAGCACAGCAACTGGTGAGCAGATGCATATGGCAAGCGGCGCAAATAATAATGCATATGCAGTAAGTAAACCGTCTAAAAAGTCAGCAGGAGAAGATGGCAAAAATATGAGAAAAATGCAAAAATATGATCGTGGCAGGGTTCGAACCTGCGACCTTTTCGGATGAAGGTGATGACTGTAAACGAAACGCGATAACCACTACGCTACACGACCTGGGCGCTTGGCTCCTTAATCGTATTTATAAATGCTTGATGGGTCTCGAGGTGTCTCCCTGCTCCGATTGGGTGCAACAAAATTCATTTTCTTACCAGTTACTATCATACCCCTCGATAGAGAACCAAAATCTTTGTCGCGAGGACCTCGCCTCTCAATTGCGGCTGTTACAGTCAGAGAAAGAGACGGAGCCGGTGTAGATGCCACCGGCTGCACCGAATCGAATCAGTCACAGAGCTTTGTTCTGTACTGATACTCTCATCAGTATGAAAGATTACCATGTCCAATCAGTTTCGCAATGTTTTTCAGCTGCACCGTCTAATTATGTACAAAGAAAAAAGGCTGCAGACAAGGCCATGGTCGAATTAGAGCCTACATGTACTTGGCAGGTGGATTACCTATCCATCAATGGGTGTGTGAAAGATTCTGCTTTTTTCTCCGACGTTGCAGCTCTTCTTTGAAATTCATCTTCTACCGTCCGTTTCGCAAATGATGCGGCTATTATCCTTTGGTTTCAATCAATTCACTCGCCGTATCACAATCTCACAATTTTACGACACAATTTCTTCGGAGTAGACAGCACCACTACCCCGGTTACTCCACAGTCAACGCCGCACTCCGCGGGCCTCCAGCTGCTACCAGTGGGGATGTAGCTCCCCCGCAGCGCCCTCTGGCAACGGAGAGCGCCCTGTAAATTCCTTGGGTAGCCCACCGTACCCCGCGCCGCCGCTGGGGGAGCAACGGAAACCCGCGGCCGGCATTCCCTCCGATCTCGCGTTACAAACCAAGCTCCACGACAATTCCGCGCCAAGTATCCGAGCTTGTCCTTTCTTGCATCTGCATACACCTTTCTCGAGAAATACAGGTCCCGAGAAGCAAGAGCGGACGTTGTGGTACAATAGTCACAGAGCAACATCGCGGCTGCAGTTGATTGTAGGTTCAGTTCCACCAGAGCTCTTCACAGCTAGTTGCGCCAGCACCGTCATTTGCGTCATGGCGACATCACCAGCAACGTAGCTAATACTGGCAGGAGCAGCTACTCGACAGCTCATAGCGGTATCTTGCATCTTTTCCAATAACCAGCGCTCAATATAATGGCCCTTTTGCAACGAATTGCAGCTCAATCGACTCTTCGCTTTGTTCCGGCCGTGTCCATGACCCTGGCCCGAAGCGCTTCCACCATGGCACCCAAGGTACGTTTCTGCAGCCGAACGCGCCTCGGTCGCCCGAGCAGCAGCCCTGCTAACCCGCATCCTCGCGTACACAGCTCAACGATCCTTCGCTCTTGAAGCAAAACGTGAATTACATCAACGGCAAATTCGTGCCGTCCATCTCCGGCAAGACCTTCAAGGTCACTGGTAGGTTCTTTCTCACAGCAACCCCCCCCCCCCCCTTCCCCCCTCCTATAGCCTCGGGACTGCGCTAATCTCTCTCGCCCTGCTTGAAAAGACCCCTCAACGGGCGAGCTCGTCGGCACCAGCGCCGAGGCCGACGTCGACGATGCCCAGAGCGCTATCGAGGCGGCCGCCGAGGCCTTCAAGACATTTCGCAAGCAGACGGGCCGCGAGCGCGCCAAGCTGCTGCGCAAGTGGTTCGACCTTATGAACGAAAACGCCGAGGACATTGCCAAGCTCATCACCTGGGAGAACGGCAAGCCCCTCGCCGACGCCAAGGGCGAGACGGCCTACGCCGCCAACTTCTTCGAGTGGTTCAGCGAGGAGGCGCCCAGGACCTATGGCGATACCATCCCCAGCTCGCTGGCCGCCAACCGCGTCTGGACCGTCAAGGAACCCGTCGGCGTCTGCGGCCTCATTACTCCGTAAGCAATCTTTTAACGCGGGTGTCGAGTATAGACCTCGATGACTGACTGTCCCTTGCAGCTGGAACTTTCCCGCCGCCATGATTACGAGAAAGATTGGTCCGGCCCTGGCGGCCGGCTGCACCGTCGTTTGCAAAGCCCCCCACGAGACGCCCTTTACCGCCCTCGCCCTAGCCGAGCTCGCTCACCGCGCCGGTGTCCCCAAGGGCGTCGTCAACATCATTGCGTCTCTTGAGAACACGCCTGCCGTCGGCAAGGCGCTCACCACGTCGCCCGTCGTCAAAAAGGTGTCCTTTACCGGCTCTACCGGCGTCGGCAAGCTGCTCATGAGCCAGTCCTCGAGCACCCTCAAGAAGCTGTCCCTCGAGCTCGGCGGCAATGCTCCCTTCATCGTCTTTGATGACGCCGACCTCGACGCTGCCGTCGCCGGCGCCATCGCCTCCAAGTTTCGCTCCTCAGGACAGACGTGCGTCTGCGCCAACCGCATCTACGTGCAGCGCGGCATCTACGACGACTTTGTCGCTCGCTTCGTCGAGCAGGTCAAGTCCTTCAAGGTCGGCAACGGCTTCGCCGACGGCGTTACCCACGGCCCGCTCATCCACGACCGCGCCGTCACCAAAGTTCGCAACCACGTTGACGACGCCGTGAGCAAGGGCGCCAAGGTGCTCGTTGGCGGCCAGGCCATGCCCGATCTCGGCGATAACTTTTTCCAGCCCACCGTGCTCCGCGACATGACGGTCGACATGGCCGTCGCCACCGAGGAGACGTTTGGGCCCCTCGCCGGCCTGTTTCCGTTTGAGACCGAGGCTGACGTCGTGAGCATGGCCAACAAGTCCGAGGTCGGCCTTGCCGGCTACTTTTACTCGCGCGACCTAGAGCGCGTCTATCGCGTCGCCGAGAGCCTCGAGGTCGGCATGGTCGGCGTCAACACGGGCATCATCTCCGACGTCGCCTCGCCGTTTGGCGGCGTCAAAGAAAGCGGCTTCGGTCGTGAGGGGTCCAAGTACGGTATCGCCGAGTACCAGGTGACCAAGATGATTACATTTGGTGGCATGAACAAGCCTCTGCAAAGCTAAGCACTTTTGGGCGGGTATATATTGAAAAGAAAAAGCTAGCAAGTAGTCCATCATTTAGAGCATTCTTATTTCTCGTCATGCAAGCTATCCAAATGCGAATTGAAACTATTCCGGGTATTAATCATATCGATGTTGTTGTTTTGCCATCTGTGATACATGTTCAAAGTTCATCCCTCCCTCTTTCTCTCTCTCTCTCTCTCTCTCTCTCTCTTGCTCTGTTACTTTATGCGAATCGTGTCACTTCCTGGCGAAGAGGCAGCTTTCGGTCCAGAGTGTGGAAAGCCTGTGTGCGAGGAGTAAAGGGCGTCGAGGGAAATGCCTGCATCTCAGTGCCCTTGAGGTTCTGGGTGCTGTGGATCGACTCGCTGTCCGACTCGTCCTCCAAGTGGTGGCCACTTTTAGGCCACATGGCGTAAATGGCGAATCCAAGGTTGAGCAAATACAAGATGCTGGGCAGCCAAGTTAGCGTGAAGGTTATACCGGGGAGGCTGAACAAAGTTCGAAAACGTACTGCATGTAAAATGTTGCACCGAGAGAGCCCTGGGCAATCTGGCACGACTTGTAGGCGCCGTAGCGCTTGGCGAGACCGCAGCCCTGGCGAAGGTACCACGCGGCGGGGGAGGGGTAGCGCGAGTCGGCATAGTCGGGACCAATCTGGCCGTAGATACTGACTGTGTAGAGAGCCAGGAGCGCCGTGTTGATGAAGACGGCAATGATAGGAAACCACAGCTTCATGATGAAGGCAATGAGCTTGGCCAGGAGGAAGAAGAGCGAAATGACGGAGATGGCGACGTTAAAGTTGGTCAAGCTGTGGTCAATCAGCAAATATTCAGAAAGTCATGTTGATCAAACGATTGGTTAGGAAGCTTACGTGGAGGACCAGATGAGCGGTACATTGGGCAGTGGCGTGAAATTGGCGTAGGCGTAGATGATCATGTTGGGATTGGAGTTGAGTTTATTGTCGAAGCCAATCTGCCACATCTTTGTGCGATAGAGATCGGGCTGTGCGATGCCGTAGATGACGAGCACGGCAATCAGACCGATGAGTTCTAGCGGCATCATCCAGACGGTTGCCTTGCGCGAAATCTTGGGCCATTTGCGGTGAAGAATGTGGTAGGACCGATTACTTCCTGAGAAGACTCCCATGGTGGCGGTGATTGTCTGCGCAACGAGGTGAGATTTTCAATGCGGCTGGTGAATTTGAAAGCGGCTTTGGCGTCGAGGTGTCACTGGCCAAACTGAATTGCTGGCAATGGTGAGCCGTGCGTCAAAAATCTGTTGATGCGACGAATTGCGTTGGTCAGACACGAAGCTTGCGAAACCAGGCCAGCTGCTTTGGGCGTCTTCAATGCGCTTCGCTCGTCGCAGGGTGAAAGGAAAAATAATCGAGGAGGCTGTTTGAGAAGAAGAAAGAGGGGGCCGCGGCCGGGTTTAAACCAGCAACAGCAGCGTAAGCGCTGGGCCATCGATGAGGGTGTCGGCATCGGGAGGGGTTCTGGTGCAGCGTGCAGCATCGCCAGCCAGTGGTGAGGCTCCTGTAAGCGCCCGGATCGGATTGGGGTCGACGATTGGAGGGTGGCCGTGGCAGCTCGGGCCAATGACCGACGCTGGGAGCGCTGAGCTGTGGACTCGCCATTGTCCATCCGCGCACCTGGTTGGTGGGGTTCGGCCGTCTGGAGGCGGTGGCTGGGTGTGAATGGACTGTGATAGGGATAGTGATGGCAGAAAGATGGTGTAGAGGCAGAGCTGCGATGAAGATGCAAAATATTTTGCAGCTTTGATAACATTTTCTGTTTGTCTTGGTGGATCAAAGAGAGAGAGAATTCGGCAGCTGGCAGCCGTTGTGAGTGCTTATTACACTTATGAAAGCCTGCCAATTGACAGTGGATCCAAGGTCTTATGATGGTGCACGTATTGTGCACAACCGCAAACGCATGTTCCAAATCTCCAAGGGAGAGTACTTTATACATGAGTAGGGAATGCACTTGGCAATAGAAAGGTATCTCGCACTTCTCCGAGGATCGTGTTAGACAGTTGGTCTTTGGTACACCTCGCATGTGGTCGTGGGCAGATTACTCTAATGATTGCGATGTCTTTGGACGGTCAAGTATTTAGTAGCCGCATGTGCTCGTCAAGGCATCATCGTTGTTGCTGACATCAGCCTGTGAACATTACTTAGCTGCCAGGGCTGATAGTCAAGATTAATCCGCGCTGTGAAACGTCGCGCAAGAGGCGGTTATACTGAACGGAACATCTCAACGACCGGACCGTATCAATCTCGATTGACCTCGAAATTGGGCTTGTAAAACGCACAGAAGCGCTCGCAGATTTCGGATTCAGCAAAGGTTTCTTGTAAGTAGTAAAGGCCTCGTGGCAACTTTACGACAGCTTCAAAACTGCGTGCAAACACAGGGTTTGGACAGCGCCGTAAGGTATGCGACACGCCCAGCTCGCGCACCCTGATAGGAAAGCGTAACTAGTCACCATTATCAGTAACAATAGTTAGTTACAGCTGCACGACGTGGATTTGGCTCGTTCTTCCTGAAGCGAGCATCATCGCCGTGCCGATTCTCCGGAACGTCTGAACTTCGATACCCTATAGCCGATAATCGCCGGATCCAGTCCGCAGTGGAGGCCGCCGTCGCCCGGAACACGGAGCTTCCTCGCTACCTAGCTCGGCAGCCAGGTGAGCCGAGCAGCGCCATGGACGGGCGAACCATCCAACCATCGAACGTAGCCTCGTGCGCCGATTCAAAGTTGGTTGCTGCGCGGGCAACGGGTTAAAATGCACAGCAGATATTAAGGGGTCGCGCCACCGCAGCGGGGATGCTAGTTGGAAAAAAAGTCGATCAATAATCGAAGAATCAGACCAAAAGGTAAAAGACATTGGTGCAGATCGATCGCTAGACAAGACAACGATCACCGCCCGACACGTCGCTACGTCGCAGAATGTCTTGGAGGGCAATTTTTGGCTGGTGCCTCTCTGGTGGTCTGGACTGGTCCACGGTGGAGAGTGCCCGCCTCGGCACAGTGGCGCGCAACGGCTGAAGCCTGAAGTGCAAGAAGTCCTCTGACCCCCTTGTATAAGTGTGGTGTGTGGTGTGGTGTGTGAGCATCGGTAGACAAGGGATGGACTTGGTGGTGACGGCTGGCGGCGATTGCTGCCAATGCAGCGGTGTCCCAGAGGAGAAGGGGCCAAGGACAGCTCAAGCATGGCAGGTAATAATAGATGGATATCGATGATGCATGCTATTGAGAGTGCTCCGTACTCGGTACCATGATGAACATATGGATGGACAGCTGTCGCAGAGGGATGTTAGCAGACAAGATACTTGGAGTGAGATAAATCGTGAGATCATGTCCGCTGGGCAAGCGGTCGCGCATTGGTCACTGGTTGATGAGTGCATCCTTGGGCTTGGACCTGTCACATTTCGCCTGCATTTGCGGGCAGGGAACACCGAGAGTAGCAGCAGTTCGTGGAGCATGTAGAAAACCTCGGCAAATGGCGTGGCTGTGGTTGGGGATGGGCTGTGAGTTGAGAGCTGGAGTGCCAGTGCGAGCACCATCTCTGCCATTTGGCGGCGGCTGTTCAGATAAGCGAAACGCGTTACTAATGAATGACCAAGAACCCACCACGAGGCAGCATCTCGATGTTCGATAGATCAACAAAGTTAAAAGTTTCGAGTAACCTTAGAACGACCTTTTTTTTTCCACAGTCTGCTCCGCGGCATGTTTCACCTGGAATCTCACGTTAAGCTTGCTGGCAAATGGCAATGCACCACCCTCAACTTCTTTGTCCCGAGCCCCCCCGGTCCCTCTGCAACCCTCCAAGTTCCAACGCTCCAACCCTCCTGCAACGGACTCGTTGCCTGCTGGGCCTGTTCGACAACAGGGTGCTAGCTGCATCGCCACCCTTCCCCGTCGGCTTACTGCCGAACTATTTACCAACAAATTATTAGGTTCAGGCTAGCACCTCATCCAGTCACTAGGCTACCTTACTTGTGTGCCTGACATTGGTGACGCTTACAAGTTTGAACCGATCGTTGGCTGCAGCCACCGCTACGTCCTCTACACGTACTCATCAGACATCTTGATACAAACTCGACCCTGTGCGACGAATCTCTGCTGCTGCTGCGACTCGGTACTAGTTACCAAACACGAATCCACCATCTCTCTGCCGGCAGCCCGCCATCTCGGCCGTGTCTTGCCTTTCCTCCGTCGCCCCAACTTGAGCACGCAGACATATCCGGATGCACGCTCCGTATTTATTAATCGCCACTTTGACTGAAATATACCGATATTATACGGAGTACATGCTTATCATTCTTATACCTTGCGCCGGCTCTCGCCTTATTTACATATATTTACCTTGTCGTCCACCCTGGACATTTGGAGTTTCGCATATCCACCTCGCTGATAACCTCCACGCTCATCGCGATCTGCCGGCGGTTTTTACCACCTGAATTTAAGGTCCAGACCCAGGCCTAGGCCCAGGACCCCCCAAGCCACGTGCACTGCAGCGAAGCGTTATTGCATGCATTATTAGCAGCCTGATCGCTCACTTGCTCTACCGTTTTTTTTTCCGCCGGCTTTATTTTCCTTTATTTTTCTTCCCCTTTTTTGGGCAGAAATAAAAAAAGAAAAGAAAAAAAAATCTTCGGACAAACTCAGACTCGAAAGCTCCAGCCACACCCGTCCAACTCCACACTGCAATGGGCCACAGTACCTAACCTTTTTTATCTGCCCGCTGTCGACCGCAGTCTCTCTTCTCCTCCAAAACGCAAGCGCTGTCTCCAAGAATTTCGAAAATTTTGATGCATAAAGTCCCGCACCTGAGTCTACTTCCGCCCACGATTCGATCTCATCCTCCGCTGCCGACAGTGGTTCTTCTCTGTTTCAGTTAGCAACGTCCAACGACCCCAACACACCAGTGATAGCTTCACCCGGCCTTGCCGCCGCTGTCTCTGATTGGTGCGCCGCCTCTACCGCAACAAATACCGCCGACTCTATTAGCTTAGCATCTTGAGTCGCTCATACAGCCTTTGCCCAAGGCGCTGTTCTTCACTCTTCGCTAGATCATGCCTCCCGTCAACTGATTAATTTTCCGGTCAGCCGGCGCCCTCTGTCTACTCGAATATTACTGTGCCTGGCGTGCCTGCTGCCGCCCCAATTTACTCAGACGGCACTTCACCAAGCCCGAAACTGTCGTCGCGTTTCACTTGCCATATATATTCGGCAAGCGACCAATCCGTCATGTCGTCCGGTCCGCCCAGAATGCCCCGGACAGGCTCTACATCCCCGAGCAAACTCGACTTACCCTCCGCAGTCACCTCACCTCTTACAAGAGCTTCTGTGAGACATTTGCGCGAGGCTGTCTCCTCTCCTCTCTTCTTCTCCAACTCCCCCATCCGTCATACCAGCCGTCCATCGATGGACTTAACGTCCGATCTTGCTGCGGGCATGCTCTCACCCATCGGTGAGAACTACCGCCAGGCCGTCACAACTCTCAAGCTTCCTCGAGCTAGCGCAAGTACCGTTAGCCCTACACATTCTGGGAGTACTCCGGGCAGCTTGGCCTCTTCTATCGATGTTTCGGGTGGATCCTCTACGAGTCCCGACAGCCTCGCAATGCCTACCAACTTGCAGATGATTCGCTCCATTGGCATTCTAGAGCTTCTAGAAAATGATATACGGCCTACTTTCATGATCGACCTCCAAAATCCATCCAATACTACTCGACCTCACCTTGCTATACAATACTCTAATCCTTCCCTTCGAGCCTGTTATGATATACACCCTTTAATAAACGCCGGCTTCGAGGACAACCCGACAACGACCGAATTCAATCACTTCAAAGAATGGGCATTGTGCTCAACTTCATCACCAGAACAGCCGGAGCTCGGTTTTCCTTCCTGCGCATATGGTCGTATCAACTGGACCAAGTCAACGGTCAGGCAACGATTTCGCTTCATCTCTGGCAGTATCAATCTTAGTGAAGCATCCGATCACTCTGAGCCTAGTACAACCGGCGCAGACGCTTCTGAATCTTTTGACGAGGATACCATACCCATTGAGCTCAAGGGACAGGCGGAAGCTGCACCAATTGATGCGGAGCCACTGGATTACTTCGGCGACGCTGCCACTGAGACATTGGACAACTGCCGCTCAAATAGCTTTGAGCGAGCTCTGATTGACCAGGCAAACAATTTACAGCCTGGCCATCCCGATGAATTTGCCAATCAGGTGCTTCAGTCGAAAGAATCAAGACCTTTTTTCGACTGGACCAGGATACCAATGAGCGACTCCCTACCCGAGCATATCAAGTTAGCAAAGACGATTGACTGGGCTTCTACCCCGCTCGGTCCCATTGATGAATGGTCCAATGAGTTGAGAATGCTCTCGAATCTCGTCATGGGTAGTCCACATCCTGCCACAATGTACTGGGGCCCCGAATTTGTCTGCATATACAACGCCGCATACGTTGAAATTGCTGGCAAGAAGCACCCACGTATCATGGGAATGAGGAATTCGGAGGCCTGGCCAGAAGTGTTGGATGATGTCGATTCTGTTTTCCGAAGTGCCTGGGAATCGGGCCAAGCAACTATGAGGCATGACAACCACCTGTTCCTACGTCGGGATGGCTACCTCGAAGAAACGTTCTTCTCATGGTCTCTGGTGCCAATAGTAGGGGGCTGTGGCCAGGTCGTCGGCTTATACAGCTCCTCCTTCGAAAACACTCGTCGCAAAATCAACGAAAGACGTATGCTCACCCTGCGGGAGATTGGCGAACACACAGCCGCGGCAACTACCCTCGATGAATTCTGGTCTTTGGTTCAAAAAGGACTTGAATACAACGAATTTGACGTTCCTTTCAACCTCATCTATTCCTCGTCAAAAGATGAGGCGGAAAGCGAAATCTCATCTGTTCGCTCATGGAGCCTGGGTTCTCCAGACCAAGTGACCCTTGAGGCCTCTTCCGGGGTTGCGGAGGGACATGCTGCGGCACCGAAAACAATCGATTTGCGCACATCTGAAGAAGGCTTTGCGCCTTACATGAGACAGTCCATTAGAATGGGCGGTGTACCTGTCGTTTTATCTCAAAAGGATGGGACTCTTCCGGCAGAACTCATTGAGGGTATCCAGTGGCGTGGGTTCGGCGAGCCTTGCAGATCAATCGTCGTTCATCCAATCGTCTCTACCAGTGGTGGTGAATCTATTACCGACTTTTTGATCATCGGCGTGAACCCGAGGCGACCTTACGACGACGAATACCAGCTGTTTTTTCATTTGCTTGCAAGGCAACTCGCAACTTCGATGGCTTCAGTTGTGCTCTTCGAAGAGGAAATCAAGCGCGGCCAGATGGCAGCGAGACTTGCTGCCGAGGATCGACGAGAGCTCTCCATGCAACTTCTTCTGCGAACCCAGGAAGCAAACGAAAGCGAACATAGATTTACGCGCATGGCGGCCTATGCACCAGTTGGTATGTTCATTGCAGACGCTGAAGGTAAAATCAATTACTGCAACGACATGTGGTGGCAAATCTCACGTCGCGCCCGCGAACATCATGTGGAGGATGCATGGATGGACCTCGTTCACGAGAACGACAGAGAAGCCTTGAGAAGCGCCTGGAAAACCTTGGTCGACGAGAAAAAGACGGTTTCTGTGGAATTTCGTTTCAAGACTTGTGAGCAGGAAAATGACCACTCCATGGATACCTGGGTTTTGATGAGTGCTTTTCCCGAGCAGAATGCTGATGGACTTCTCGCGTCCATCTTTGGCTGCATAACTGACATTTCCTCTCAAAAATGGGCCGAAAGAGTCCAGAATGAGCGCCGAGAAGAAGCCGTTGAGCTCAAGCGGCAGCAGGAAAACTTTATCGATATAACCAGCCATGAGATGCGCAATCCACTGTCCGCCATTCTGCAATGTGCGGACCAGATTGCGAATAACATCACTGCATTCAACACGCGCAATGCTGAGGGTGTGAAATCACTTCTCGAAAGCTGCTTGGATGCGGCTAACACCATCAATCTATGCGCCAGCCACCAGAAGCGCATTGTTGATGACGTCTTGACCCTTTCTAAGCTAGACTCAAGCTTGCTCACTGTCACTCCTGTTGCAGAGCAGCCAGTGAGAGTTGTGCGCCGGACACTCAAGATGTTTGAAGCTGAGCTAGCGGCTCACGAAATCGATTTCGACTTTACGGTTGATGACAGCTTCGCAAGGCTCGGCATCAAATGGACGAAGCTGGACCCATCACGTCTCCGGCAAGTGCTCATCAATTTGATGACAAATGCCATCAAGTTCACACAAGGGCGCCAGCTCCGTCAAATCAAGGTCAATCTCAGTGCATCACGCGATATTTCCGAGGTTGCCAATGAGAATACCTATTTTCCCCGAAACGCCAACCAAATAGGCGGCGGAATCGATATCGATAGCGAAGACGATTGGGGCACTGGAGACAAGATCAACATTCACTGCAGCGTTGAGGACACTGGCCCTGGTCTCGCTGAGGAGGAGCTACAGGTTCTCTTCCAACGTTTCCAGCAAGCAACGCCAAGGACTCATGTGCAGTACGGTGGCTCTGGTCTCGGTCTCTTCATTTCGCGAATCCTGACCGAGATGCAAGGCGGTCAAATCGGTGTCACTTCTACTGCTGGTCAAGGAAGCAAGTTTAGCTTCTACATTCAAAGTCGCCAGTGTGCCGACGCATCGGAGCCTTTTGAGCCTCTCTCATGCTTCACCCTCTCTCGCCAGTGCCGCTTGCCGGCCGGCTCCGAGACTGCCACCCAAACCGAGTGTGCCGCCAACAGCCGGCAGACCACGTCCAAGCACCAAGGCGTGCCCAAAGGTCCGCGGCACGACGTGCTCATTGTCGAGGACAACATTGTCAACCAAAAGGTGCTGCAGCGCCAGCTCGTCAACTGCGGCAACAAGACGTTTGTCGCCAACCACGGGCAGGAAGCGCTCGAGACGCTGCAAAAATCGCGCTTCTGGACTGGCAATGAGAGCGACGGCGTCGACATTTCGGTCATTCTCATGGACCTGGAGATGCCTGTTATGGACGGCGTGACGTGCGCACGCCGCATCCGCGCGCTGGAGCGCGAGGGTACCATCACCAAGCACATTCCCATTATTGCCGTCACGGCGTATGCGCGTCCCGAGCAGATTGCCAACGCCAAGGCGGCGGGCATCGACGACGTCATATCTAAGCCGTTTCGCATTCCCGAACTGCTCCCGCGGATTGACGAACTTGTCAATCAGCATAGCACACTGTCTGTCAAGGAGTGATTCTGCTGCCCTGGTTCACAGTTTGCACTTTAACACGTGGCGCATAGTTTCTGTTTACCAACTATTTGCGAACTATTTGCATTTGTTGTTTCTATTCTATTCATCTTCATTTCGCATTTGACATGACTGAGCGTGCGCTTTCTATTTCAACTTTATCTCTCTCGTTCCTAGTCTTCTCCCACGAACCTCCCCCCTGATTGGAAAATTTCCCAAAGCGCACCTTTTATATCCTTCATTCTTTGTTTTAATTATTTCCTTGCATGAAAATAAAGGCCAATTGCCGATCCGACATGAAAGGAAATTTGGCGAAACCAAGAAGTCCTGCGGACGAGGATGACCTCACAACGCAACTTTTTATATGAGATGGGCGGCTTTTTCTTGACTTTTTGATTTCCCGTCTCGGAAGCGCTTCCTCTCATTAAGAGGGGGCTTGAGTTTTCTTTCTTTTTCTTTCTCTCTTTTTCTTTTCTTTTTTTTTTCTTTTACTTGTGAAGGATCTAACTCTTATTTACTTTACACACGGCAAGGGGAGGGAGGCTTTCAACGTTTTCATTATTCAAAAGCTGGGTTGGAGAGGAAAGAAACCCAGCAGATACACGAATTGTTTTCATACGCGAGACATATATACACGCATAGCAACAGATACCCCCCCCTACGCGGAGGCTAGAAATACACACGAGTCATGCCTTGTGGTTTGGGATTTGTTCTGACTGGCAATTTGCTTCTCAAAACCGAGATTTGTTTTGTTCATTGCGACTGGCAGTCTCGTGAGCGAGTCGTTCTAACAATTGAGATACTCCTCAGTCAAACGAATCATGCATTGATAGCTATTATGCAAAATTGGGTACAAGGGCGTGGCAGACTAACGCGCCATTCAGTTTGAAAGAACACATCACTTGAAGCCTGACTCATATAATAGGAACACAGCGGTTGAATTAATTATTACTATAATCTCCTCCTCCGGGTATCGAACAAAACAGACCAAACGCGGGCAACACAGCTGTGCCTTTTTTTCGTCATTGGGCTGGCCAATGTTTTTCCTTTTTCAAAAACAGTTAAGAAGACTTCCGTCGTAGTGCCTGGTGCAAAACAGTATGGAAAATGGTATCAGTGAAAGCAGTCTTGACAGGGTATCTCGGTAGCTTGTGAAGAAATGCAGAACCATTCTTCCGTTCTCAGCCCTCTCATGCATGTGGGTATATTTTTTTTCTTGGATTAAATGTTTAGGGGGTTGTTGGCGTAACAATCATCGAAGAGCTGAAACGTCTTGCGGGCGTCAAGCTAGATCACGTCGGTCTGCCATCTAAGCAGAGGCGGTGACAGCAGGGGCAGTAGGAGCCTGCTCAGGCTTCTTCTCGCCCTCCACAGCCTTGGCGATCTGCTCATTGATGTCGGTGGCAGTCTCATCAGCTTTGTTCTGGGCGTCAGAAACAGTCTCAGCAGCAGTCTCCTGAGACTTGGCGGCCTCCTCCTTGCCCTCATCGACCTTGCTAGCGCCCTTGCCCTTGATGGTAGCACGGAGCTTGGAGAAAGCGCCGGTCTTGACCTCACCGGTGGTTGGAGAGGCATCACGCTTGCTGCCGAAGAAGGGAAGAGATGACTTGCGCTTCTCCTTGACGTCCGTCTTAACCTCGGGGGCAGCAGCCTCAACGGGGTCAGCGGCAATCACCTCTTCGGCCAGAGGAGCCGAAGTGTCAACCGGGGGGATGACGGGAGCAGTCTCGGCAGTGCCTTCAGTCTCCTCAGGGGCAACATCGGTGGCCTCAGCCTTGGGCTCAGCGGCCTTCTTCTCTTTCTTCGAGAAGACACCGCCGAAGAAGCTGTTGCGCTTATTGGGAGTGGGCTTGACAGCCTCAGCAACGGGTTCTTCAGTGGCAGCGGCATCCTGAGCGACAGCATCCTCAGCCTCGGCGGCTTCGGCAGGAGCAGCAAGCGGCTCGGCAGTTTCGGCAAGGGTCTCCTCAGTCTTGGCATCGTCCTTGTGGGTGGCGTCCTTCTTGCCGAAGCCGAAGAAGGATGCGCGCTTGCGGCTGGCAGAGCGGCGCTTGGACTCCTCAGCCTTCGGCTCTTCCTTGGCGAGGTCGGCATCCTCCTTAGGGGTCTCCTCAGTCTTGCCGACGTCGGTCGTCTCCTCAGCGGCAGCGGGCTCGGCAGCCTTGGCCTCCTCCTTGGGAGCGGGCTTCAAGCTCTCGAGAGTGTTCTTGTAAGCCTCCGACTCGGTGACAGAGGCAGCGATCTCCTTAGCCTCGGCGATCTTGGCCTTGAGCTGGGCAACCCAGCTGTCACGCTCAGCGGGGTTGGCGGCCTTGAAGGTGTGCTTGTTGCCCTTCGTAGTGAAGTGGAACTTGTTACCGTCGACCTCGAGCTCAGAGGCGTGAGACTTGTCGCGAGTTGTTAGTGGTGCTGCTTTGAACGAGGTGCTTAGTATGAGGGCGCAAAAACCTACCAGATTGATGACATTGTGGGGAGCCTTCTTGTCGCCAGAGAAAAGGAGGCCCTTGCCGGTGTGAGCGGCCCATGAGATGTTCTCAAGAGCGGTCTCGGTCGACTTGTGGGCCTTCTTGTAGGCCTCGAGAGCCTTGGCCTCAACGGCTTCGGGGCTAAGGAAGAAGAACTCTTTGCTACCGAGCAAATTCCTTTTGAAGCTGTTAGACGGATTCCAATTTCAATTTCACGGCATCGCATTTGATGGCCACTTACTTGGGGAAGCTCAGGCCCTGAGCCTTGTAGCCAAGGTGGCCCTCCTCGATGGGTTTGGCCTCGTCCTTGCTCTCCTCAGCAGCAGCAGTCTCTTCGACCTTAACCTCGGCGACAGCGGGAGCAGCGAGCTCAGCGGGAGCAGCAACATCGAGAGCGGGAGCAGTCTCGGGGACCAGGGCGGGTACCTGCTCGACGGGGGCGGCAGGGACCTCAAGGGGCTTCTGAATGTCGGCCATTTTTCTGGATTAAAAGTAGAGTATTGGGTATCTTAAGTGGGTATCACAACAACAAAGAAAGACGGATGGTATAAAAGAAAAAGCTGGGACCAGAAAAACGGCGTCCACGAAGATGATGAGAACAGAGGATGGTGTGTGAGAGAGGAAGAAGGAGGGAGGACGAAGTAAAAGGGGACGAAGGGGGGTACTTATTTGGATTGCAGAGGGCGGGTGAGCCAGGGCAACAATGCAATGCAAATTGGAGGAGGAGGGGGACGGACGGGCAGGAGAGGAGAGCGCCAGGTTACAGGTGGCAAGGCAAATTGTTGGAGCAGAGAGGTAGGGGGGTGTAGTGGATGCTTGATCCAAGCTATCTAGGTACAAGCTCAACGTGCAAGCCAACACAATGGAGCAGGTACCTACCGAGCAACAAGCAAGCAAGCACCCACCTCCCTACCTTGACTCCTTGAGTGCTAGTTATTTACAGCCCTGAGCCCAGTCACCACAATTATTTACGAGTACAACTTTGTACCTTGCAATTTGTGCATGATTGGGGCATCTAGGGGCAATAGTGGGCGATTCAGGGCAAGGTGTGTGTGTGTGTGTTTCTACAAGTACTAGTACCTACCAGTCAACCGTAACTAGGTATGCGTAGACGGATATTTACTCAAGAAGGAGAAGGACCTGGGCGACCAGCCGCAATCACCATCAGTCTCTTCTTGTACGACGACACACATGCTGAAAAAATTCTGACGGGAGCAAAATCTATCTAGACTGGGGCCCGCTGTGAATACGGCCAACCAAGGGTTCAGATTTTTGCACAAGGGGGTGGGCAGCAGCAACCAAACCGAAGTAGGTAGGGACATGGCACCAATTGCCAGGCAATCTGTTTCTATTGTCTTTTTCCTTTCTTTTCCTTGGTGAAAGGTGCAGATAGTCAGGTCGATACACCAGCGTGTGGACTGTGAACGGCACTATTCGCACTGGAGGGAGTGGTGTCATACTATTGCTGGCTGGCATTATATTGCATTGCTGCTGATCCATCCTTCAGTGTGAGTGGACAATTCGCGGCTTGCCAATGGCAATGTGACCATGGGCCAAGCACACAGCCACCTTGGTAGGTAAGTACCTGTCTTCTGCACCACTTGACCACCTGGCAGTGGGATGCCGTGATTACCTTGGCTGGATGTGTGATTGACCTTTGTAATCTTCATATTATCGTGTTCATGATATTGATATTTGTCTGTTGGCCGAGATGCGGCTACATCATTACTATGATCTAGGTGACAAGATGCTCCTTTCCGCTGCCGTTATTCGCTCCGAACAAGCCTCTCAGGTACCTGCATCAGCCATGTACGTTCTTGTCCATTACTGCCGGCCCGTCAACCCGTCTGCTTGCCAGCTGGCAGCAAACAGAGAACCGTTTGCATAGTGTCCCCCTCTTTCTTTTCTTCGATTCTGCTCCTTCAGCTTTTCAAACATACCAAAAAAAAAATCTGTTTACCACGGCTTCTAATTAGCCCACGAAACAAGAATCATTACCCTGCAATCAGTTCCTGCTCTGTTGTTGTCCTCGTCAGCCGCGATGCCAAGCAAGCCCGGCATCAGGCCAAAAAAAATAAAAAAGAAATCGGATCCACTAGCCCACTGAGACCCTGGACTTTCTGTTGCCAGGGCTCCGCCCAAAGCCTGCGCTAACTGGCCCGTGCGTGTTTAAGCGAGTGGGCCTTATTTTACTTGAACATTGCTGACCCGCTCGTGGCCGCTTCACCTGGCAGCACTATTCAAGATGGCCCTCTTTTGCCTGCCATGCTCGTTTTGGCTTTGGCAACTCCATTCACTTTGTCAATCCAGCCTAAAACTTCTCTCATACTGATCGTTGGCTGAGTATCATAAAGTTATACTCAATGATATCTTTGCCCATATTTGTCACAATTACAAACTGTCCATCATTCCCCGCCGTTAATCTCTATATTGCGCCCTCTCCCTGCTACGCTGTGGCTGACACAGACCTGCAATCCTTTGGCAAGACTCGACTTGACTCGTCTCGATCTGATGCACATGGCTTTCGCAACCCACCAACCCTCGTCGCCATCCAGGAGGTCACGGGTACATGGCCACGGCTCCGATAATTACTTGCTTGCACACTCACCGTGCACTGCTGCACTGATACGGTGCTGGTATTGCGACATGGGCCTTCGCTCCATCGCTCCTTGCAACCTCCCTACCTCAGCGGGGCACATATCTCATAATCCGTACCACAGATAACACTCTCAGCCCTCACCGATATCTACAGAGCGAAATTGTCACTGCCAACCAAGGAACCGCTGGGGATTCCGGGCTCCTTATTACCCTACCGTCTAGACCCTGATGCAAGGGCTATCCCCGATGAGCTTCTGACCGGTAAATAGTTGTCTAATACATACTGATACTCGCACCTGTACCTAACTAGTACTATGCCCAGATTTAGTTAGACGAAACCGATCAAAACCATGAGCCCGTATCGCCGCCGCTACCGATGCCGTCGGCACACAAGACCACATGCGCCGTTTTGCTTCGTATAACCTTCTAACAGGTGCTCTTGCTGCCCAGACAGTCTACGACAAATGATCAACAAGTAACAAAAAAACAGATGCTGGTACGGCGAATGTTAATACTTTTCTAAAACACATTGACCTAGGAGATCGCATTTAGCTGTGCAGCACCATCGATCCCAGAAGCTCCAGATGTTTGGGCATTAGAAATGCCTTCACAACGATACAATTGCCTCTGTTCGGTACTCGAGCGCCACATTGCAACGGCAGGCTGTTCTTGCGTGGCCCAGTTGGTATGTAGCCTCCAGCATGAGCGCAACCCCTTTTCTGAAACAAGCACCCGCCTTTCCTAGTTATGGCGGTTCTTTGGTGCGCTTCACCCTCGACTCCTCACTGTCTCGCAGATTCAGCAACCTCCTTCCAAGGGCTGTCGGAAATTATGACCCGAGCAAATGAGCTGGCCGAGCATAGGTAATCGTGGTTGATAGGCTCTGGCGCTGGCGCCAACTTACATGGCGGCCCCAATTGCCCACTCCAATTTGGTAGCGTACAACTAACACCAAGACTTGACCCGATTTACGGCTGCGAATCCTTTTCATTTTCCCTTTTATCCCTGTTTGGGCAAGCGCTTCAGGCCTAACTACCGCCAGGATACCTGAATGGGGCTGCTGGCACATTAGCTGCATAATCATGCTACGACCAGCTAATAAACGCCGTGGTCCGTTGCTTTATTATTACATGTTTTGATGCCAGCCTTTTATCGTCGCGGACAGTCCTGTCCAGTGACGAATCAGCCTCTTGCATTGCATCTTACATGACACATGCGCAGCTAGTTACCTATTGCTCACCTCCTTTTGCAGCTCCAACGACTGTGGATTTCTTTAGGTCGCTGCCTCCCATGAGGGCTTGCGAAATCGAAAGACAAAATCAAGGGAAGGAACACGACTACTCATGGCGCCATATTCATTACATGGCCACCCTCATAATCGGAGAATTGTTCACAAATCGAACCACTCAGCGAGCGAGAATAGGTCCCCATGCCATCTCAAAGTGTTTTGCCGAGCAATTCAAGTCCGATTGATCCTTTAACTAATTAGTTAGTGGACCAGCCAGCACATTCATTACCCACAACACCTTGTGGCACCGAAACGTCACAAGGCCGGATGACTCTTTTGGCCGCAGCTATTGCTTTGACTCGCCATTATTAGTACCATTCGGATGGGGCATTTGCTGTGATTCCTTCGTATCGCGTGAAAACTCTGAAACGCTCATGACATGTGTCCATGTGGCCCGATGGCGCACCAAGCCGATCGGATGCGATGGGGAGCTACTGTACTCGGCAATCCTCATCATCATGATTGGAAGGCCAGCGCACTCTCAATCATCGGGTTTCCCTGCAAACTCTGCACTCTCACCATCGGCGAAAATACCGCCAGTCTACGGAGTACGGTCGGTCCAAAGAGGGCGGCATCAGGGTTCGTCAATTCGTATATATCAAAAGAAAGAGGCTGTCTTGCTGGTGAGAAGCTGCAGGCTAAGACGCGCTATTGGCTACGCCCGCCTTCGCAGTGCACACACACTCACCATGCTAATGCAAACGCCACAACTACGCCCTTTTGGATAGCTACAGACTAAATAAACTTTCTCACTGGAATCAAGCTGACTACTCGCCAGGAACAAGTACCGACGTTGACATTCTCCTCTGACCCTGAGCGGGGCTTACCATGTGTCGAAGCCGAGTCCTCTGCAAGTGAGCCGATGCAATGCAGGGCGGAGGCCATGACGGACAGAAGGTCGCGTTTTTGCAGAGAGGGCGACGACCTGGCCCTCACCCCACACTTCGAATATGTTACCTGGCGGGTTTCTCTTATCAGTCTGACTTACAGGTTCAGTTTGCCACGCTTGGCTGTTCATAATCGGGGAACCTGGACGCCACCTTGTCCAACGGCTACTAGCGAGCAAGTAGCAACTTGCCAGCCATGTTGCCAGCTTGCCAGCCACGCACGGCATCGTGTGCATGACAAGGCGCCACCCCATATGCCAAGCTAGTCGCCATCGGTCACGGTACCAGTCACGAATGAGGTAGTGATGCTCGTACTCTTAGTGAAGAGCTTTGATTTGTTGTTACAATATCTGTGAGCGGAAGCGGTATACAGTACGTTGGGAAGGCGCGCAAAAGGCGTACATGTGGCCTAAACACAGTTGAGAGGTGACAAACGCAGCGTTTCATGGCGCGCGCGGCTTGATCGGCTTATGGGTTAGCTTTTCCTGTTTGAGGCGAGTTGTAGCCTGTCGGACAGGCAGCCTTGGTACACTGCGTCACCGTATGGCGGTGTGTTGTGATGATCAGGCTGTTGAAAGCCGCCGTAAGACGGTGCCGATTCCGCTGCCTGCATCAACGCCGTCAGCTCGGAACCCGGGTGGACGGCGAACGACTCGATCCTGATTACTCCAAGTCTGCAGGCAAAAGTGATGCAGCATGGTGACTCCCTTTACCTATGCGGCAACATAGTAGGTTGTAAGCATTTTGGAAACTCTTGGCAGTGAAACGAAACCTATTGCCATTCTTGGAGATCTGGTCTGACGAAGCCGGGAAGCTCATGCAGAAGCTTTGATTCCGTCTGAGATTTGATACTCTTATACTTTATGGTCGTCGGACTCTGGGTCAAAAGCTGCAAACACGTAGCGCGCTGGCTAATTGCTAGCAATATATCACAGTTTTTAAGATGCCAATTGACATTTATCTTTAGCGTAATCTGTTGGCGAAAGCTCTGCCATCAGTTGAGTAGACAAGACTAATTAAGGTCTGGCGTCAACGTGAATGCAACCCCGTCACGCTACTGTTTTCTGAACCTGGACCTCCTAGAGTTCGCGGTGAAAGTTTGCGTGAAGCAAATTTAGCGAGAGACTTCCTCCTGACGCCGTGCTGCCTAGAAATGGAAAGAAAATTCTGCTTTTTCTCTCTATGACTGTTCTATTGTGAGCCAGCGGTCCTGATCAAGCGGTCCAGCAAACGACCAATGGGCTAAAACCTCGAACTGATCAGGAGTAGTATCATACGCATCCTGAGAAGAAGAGGAGAAAACAATAAATTTATTTTGACAGATTGCACTTTCCATTCACGTCTTTCCATTTGCGTTATATTTACTGCCTACCTACGTGGCGGCGCCGTGCTCGATGCATCTATAAGAGCTGCGCCATCTTCGTACTCTCAACAGTGCACCACAATCTTGCAACTACCACACTCGGCCATTCTTTCCGAATTTTTAACGCTTCTTTCTTTTCTATCCTACCCTTGGGCCTTTTTATTATTTGTATTCAAGTCGATATGGCACGGAAAGCCAGAACACATATGAAGAAGGTGGCGACTCCCCAGGAGCGACCTTTTTCATACAGCATGTCTCTATCGCGAGACCGCCTAGAGCTCGAGGGCTTTCACCCCTTGGCATGTAGCCAAACAAGTGTGTTTGAGATGATTGAGTCCTGGAAGGAGCTACTAAGGAGGCAGCTTGGGGCGCCGCCCATCCAAGCGCCCACCATGCGCATGACGCGGGCCTTCCTCCTCCTTCGAGAGGAGCCGACGCCGGCCAGCGAGCCCAGAGTCGGTTACTTTGAGAACCTCATCATGAGCCAGGCCGTTGGTCCGCGTGTTCTAACCGAAATCTTCGCCAGGGGACACCGCTCGGCGCTACACCTAGCGCTCACATCGAAGCGGATGTGGCTCATCCTTACGGCGAGCGTGAACTACTTCGACTTTTACGCCGGTCGTCTGCAGAACCTTGGCCCGTCAGGAATTTTTGTCTGCGCCGCGCCTGAATTCACTCTGGGCGAGATAATGGCGACGCGACTCTCGGACCCGTACGGGTTCCAGTCAGCGACACCGTTCACGAACTGGCATAATGCGGCGATTACGCGGGAGATGGACGCGGTTGATACGCTCTTCATGGTGCGGGCACGCCTCGACAAGGAGAAGAAGACTTCTGAGGGCTCGGGGTCGCAGCCGGTCCCGGAATTCCTGCGTCGCATGTTTGACGAGCCTACTCTGAGGGCAATCTTGGCAATTGAGAAGCCTAAAAACATTTTCAAGATGAACCAATTCATCTCTCTACCCTCGGGGTCTGCCTTTGAGCCGCCGATGATCTATAGTGCAACTCGCCTGCAGCTTTTACGTGAGTCCAGTTCATGTTGAATGCCTTCTATTGCATCTTGTACCGCTTTTGTTGTCACGTTATTCGATGTTGCCGCTTAAGTCAAGGCTTCAATATTCTGACATTTTGTCCCAGTTATCAAAATGTTTAATCAGCGAGAGAATACAGAAGTCCTCCACTTCCACAAGATTCCGTTCTTTGACCGACGCATCCTCGCCATTATTCTGCGAGCCTGTCCTAATGTCACGATGCTAGGGGTGTACGACTGCCCTCTGATTCACCTTGGAGACCTAATACCGCTACTCGACCTGATCTACGAGATCAATATGGAGAGAAAGCTGCAGAACAAGCCCCTAATTGGAGGATTTGACTTTTATCCTAGCTTTCATAAGGGATTATCGACCGAGAGCGAACATCGAGTATTCGGTCTAACAGCAGACTCTATGGATCGCGACATAATTCAAAGAGGTCTATTCGCAGTGCTGTTGAAAGGATTCCTGAAAGCACGACAGCTGAAGCTCGACTTGCTTTTTGAGCCCGGCCGAGCACTAAGGGCCTTTCTGTTTAGAGTTCCTAACCCTCCCTTGAGTATTCCGACATTCTTCGACGGCCTCTGTCGATACCTAGAGAGCGGAGCACTCGACACGCCCGACACGCAGAGAAGACGGGCCCTGTATGATTTGACCAAGCCGATCCGGCTAGGCCTGGAGCCGGATCTGGAGGACAGTTTCTACCAGGAGGACATGGACCGATACCTACCTTTCTGCAGCTCTTGCGGCTACGAAATGCTGTACGAGCTTTTCCCTGCCGGAACCCGTCGGGTCGACCCGCACCGACGAGTATGTGCAGGCTGTAACCTGCAAGATTTGCTCGATAAACAGCCGCATGATATGCGGGACTGGAAGGTTGGCCTGCTGGCCAAGCTCATGCCGGACTGGAACGGCTTGGTATTCAACAAGGACGCGCCCACGGGCGACTGCGATTTGATGTCTCTCCAAGCGACGGAGACGTTGCGAAACGAGCCTTCGCCTTTGTTCATCAACCAAAAAGGCGAGCTAGCCGCCAGCCACAACGTCATTGGGCTGCTTCGAGACAACAAAATTCCGGCAGACTCGTTGCAGAACCTGCCAGCTCTGCAGGATCTGGTAGAGGGCGCCGGTTTTGATGCCCAGTGGACAGAATTGTTCAACCATTGCCACAAAGCCGACATTTATGCACGCGCCAGGATGTGCATCAACACCGAGGCCAGGAAAAAGGAATTAAAGAACAAGGGTCTAGTTTCCAAGCGGCCCCGAGACTGGTACGGGGAAGTCTGGCGCAGAGAGAAGCATGCGCAAGAGGTGCAGAGCTTTGACTACAGGTCCGCCGTGCTATTCCACTTGGAGCTCGAATCCCAGGGATGGTAAGGGCGGTAGAATTTGAAGCTTTTGCTGTATTTGCTTTTTATAGTGCCGCTTACTGAAGTTGATTTGACTTGTTCTTTTCGGTGGACTTGATTTATCATTTGGCTTGGCTTGGTGGCCAGATCTCATCGCATTAGCGTGGCTGCATTTAGCGTTAGAGGGTCTTTTGAATTTGGGAATTCTCAACTCAGGTACAAGGCCGACCAATTAAAGTCTAATTATCAATTATTGCAAGAATAATGTTTCAAGTGACGATGAAAAAGCAAAGCCATCGTCTGGCTGTCGGCGTAGGGAAGGGGGGGCGGACACATACCGATCTGATCTCTACCGGCTCTCAGCGACCGCATACATTTCTCAGCAATTTAAAGCTCACAACACACGAGAACTAATTTCATGGCGATTGAACACTTAATCGATTTTTCTTTCTCAATCAAGAGAAGAATCATTTCGCTTCCCGAGTCGACTTATAAGCCTGGCTGATTTCCAAAATGGGACGACGGTCACGTGCAATCACCGGCGTGGACTTGTTGCGACTCCGCAACTTTCAAAGCTTCAAGCCAAAGCCACCCACCCTGTGTGAGACCGAATCGAAAAGAGACGAAAAAAAAAAACAGAAATCAACACATTTGCCCCACGAACACGCCGGCAATGGCGTCCATATTCCGAACGCTGACGCTTTCGGCGAGCGCGCTCACTTCGCGCGCACTCTTTGCCGCGCCGTCGTCTTTCCTGGGTGCCGGCGTGCTGTCGCCGTTTTCGCGGCTTCTGCCCACGACGCCGTCGCAGCAGCAGCAGCAGGTTCGCGGCATGAAGGTGCACAGTTCCGTCAAGAAGAGATGCGAGCACTGCAAGGTATGTTTTGCTGTATTATACTGGGTGAATCGGTTGGAGGGGAGCAGTGGGTGCTGACTCTGTGCGCTCGCGCGCCGCAGGTTGTTCGACGCAAGGCGGGCAAGAGACATAATGGCTACCTGTACATTATCTGCAAAGCGAATCCTCGACACAAGCAACGACAGGGTTAAGACGAACTAGGCAAAAGCCTGACAAAAAAGAAGAAAAAAAGAGAAACGATGATTCGGCGAGGTGGCCTGTCAATTGCCGGAGCAGGATAGACGAGGCAATACACATGTACGATTACCAGCGCTCCTGGAATGACGACGGAACAAAAGAAGCGACAACATAGAGACCAGCACTGAGCCAAGACGACGGATAGATTACTGGGCATATTTTTCATCTACTTGTGGCCTTGCTTCATCAATGTATTTTTACAATGTACTCGGGTACAACCCCGGTCTCTCAGTTACATACCCCCTATATACCTCTCCATGGCCTCCCATTCTGTTTTCCCCGTAGACAGTAAATATCTTATATGTTGCTGGTAAAAAAAAAAAAAAAATCAGTCCGACTGCCCATATACGAAAAAAAAGGACAAGATCTTACTAAATCGGTGACGTGACGATGCCGCTCCAGCTCATCGCGGGCAAACTTTTGCGTCTCACGCCGCGTCTGCGCATCCTTGATGTTGCGACACCCTCGTAGAATAGTGCGGTAGAATGAAATGACTCTTGATCGTTGCAAAAACTGAAAAAATTTACCCCACGTTTAGCATTGAAAAAAAGGGAGTTGCTAGAGGGGCGCCGGGATGAAAGTTTTTACATGATCGAGACTGAGTGCGCCGCCGATGCGCTTGGCGGAAGGGCGTTGCGTGGCAAAGCCACGGCATTGGCGCGCGATGCGCAGGCAGAGAACCATAAGGACAAAATTATGATTAAAAATCGTTGATGAATATGAATTTATCAAAAATAGCCGGGAGAAGGGAAAAGGAAAGCGCTTTAAATGGTGAGGAGAATGAAGAAGAGTTGAAACTTGGGAGATGGTACCAAAAAAAGACCGTCATTGACATCCCGGTGGAACCTCGGGCATCTCAAACTCTCAAGACGACTCCAGCAATCTCACAGTTACAACTTTTACACCCCCAAAAACACATTTTACTAGATCTGGTTTTATCGCCGTTGATAGCAGGTTCCGACCTGTCCTGCCTTTGATGGGAGCTACCCCGGACACCAAACGTCGCACTGCCGCTGCACCGCGCCGCCGCTGCCGCCGTGTCGACACGCGCGCGGCCAACAAGGCGATTGCGGCAGCCCGCACCTTGACAAACCAAGACTTTGTCGAGCAATATATCCAACCTTGGTGTGTAGCCATAACCACCTTCTCTCTCCTCACAGCGGTCTAGACCGATTTGGCTTACGTGAAAGCGAGGAGAACCACCCAACAGCGATGCGACGTGGCCGCGCTGGACGCACCCCAAGACGCGGGAGCAGTACGTAACAAGTCTGCGCTCACCAGAGGACATGCAGGACGCTGAGCTGGAGGCGTGCTTTGGCCTGGTGGAGCGGACCAGCAGTCACGATTACCGCCGCGCGGCGGGCGGATGGCATCCAGAGGCGAAGCGTGCGGAGATGAGGTCGCCGGGCTTGCGCTACATTCTCGTGCGTGGCGCGGCGGCGGAGGCGGAGGCTACGGCCTCCTCGGACGAGTCTGCAACGGAGAATAGTGGTGACGGCGGCGGCGAGATTCGTGCGTTTACGTCGTTTATGCCAACGTGGGAGGACAACAAGCCCGTGGTGTACTGCTACGAGATTCATCTACTACCCGAGCTAGAAGGGTGAGTTCTTTTTTTTTCTTTCTCTTCTTTCCTTTTTTCTCCTCCATGATACAGCCCAACCATGGGAAAAAAAAAAAAAAAAAAAAAA